GTTCAAGATTTGTGATTCTTCCTCCTCACCCTAGTCTGTCTTCTATAGGCAATAAAGTCAATTCATTTTCCCCAACTCAAGTCTGTTTTCTCCATGACAGTAACTGGTGAGTGATCTCCCTGTCCTTATCTCGACCCATGAGCTTTTCCATCTTCTTTTCCACCCCTGCCCTGTTGTGGAAAAAAAGAGAAAGAGCTGGGGGCCTGGCAGGTGCCCAACCACTAGTGTCGGCCAACCACTGCTGTCCTCTAAATGTGACACAATTCCAACACAAAAAGAGCAGAACATGATTTGTTCATTTCTGTCATCATCTTGGGCACAGAGTGACATCTTAGCTCACAGAAGCTGCCAAGGGTGTGTTTATCATGCTTTTTGGCAGGTTTTGCTTTGGCTCTTGCTCTCCCAGAAGGAGAACATGTGCCAGGTGTGCAGCCCAAACATCAGAGGTCTCCTGAAGCTTCTCAGATTTTCTTTTCCCCCAGTAAAGCAAATACGTCCTTCTTGTAGGACAACACTGCAAAGGACTCTGTAGATTCACTGCACTGTCTTTTAGAAAGTGACCCAGAGGAAGAGTTTCTGCTCAGGGAACATGAGTGGCCCTGGGATGCTAATTTGAAAAGTTGAAGTGAAGGTGAAAAATCTTGTCTTGTGAGCTTTCTCTTCGAAGAGTTTTCTTGCCATGGGCATTCTCTTCCCTCTGTCTCTCCATCCCCACAACAATGAAAGGGGAAGAATTTAATATTGAAGTGTAAGTGGTTTTTAATTGGATGGGGCTCTGAACAACCTGGGCTAGTGGGAGGTGTCCCTGTCCACAGTAGGGGGGTTGGAATGAGATGATCTTTAAGGTTTCATCCAGCTCAAAGTACTCAGTAGAAATTCAGTAGCAACCAAGGCTGATCATCTGGGATTCCCCATGTCATAAAAGGAGAAAGAAAGGGCTGCTAGGGAGGGAAGAGGTTCAGCCTGAACCGAGCTCCAATGGAAGCAATTCAATCTGTGTGTGATGTGATTCAGATCACAACAAAATCTGTGTCCATCCAGATGCATAAACGTGGGGGTGAGGTGCCATTTGAAATGCACAAAGGCATCCAAAATATTCACATGGACTTGTAGATGCAATTTCTAGGAGACTCCTTCCCCTTCTCAAGTGGTGCAGGAGGGGATGGATGTGAACCAGCAGCAGATACCTGTGCTTCAAGCACCTGACCCACATCTTCCTGCTCTGAAACCCCAGCATGTGAGACTCAGATATTATAACCTTATTTTAATAAGGTACCAAATGGCCCACACAGAGCTGAGCCCAAATTAAAGCCACAGTATGCTCCTTCCAGAGTAATATTTTCATATAAATGGCCCTTGCACAAGCACAGTCCCAGCACAGGTAGTTCAGCTTCAGACAGGTTGTTATAGAAATAACTTCTGTTCTCTTCACATACATATGGACAGAAGAAGAAATAAAGAAGCAAACAAACCTACCCAACCCTGTACCGTGTTTCCTGTTTTATCAGCAAAAACAGAAGAAACTGACACCAAAGCATAAAGAAGAGAACAGGCAGCATCAGGAAATGAAAGTTCTCCCAAGGCAATGCTCTGCCTAACATCAACACCAACAATTATCAAAAGAAATAATATTTTTGAATGGCTGCATGCAAAACTAACTTGCTCATTGTAGGTGGCCAAGGGACAAAAGAATCCAGATCCTGAAGCCTGACAAGGATCAAACAAGGGTCAGTTACAGAACCACAACCCTGTCCTCTGCACAAAAACATCTCCACTCTTTGTGCCACCCAACACAGCCCTCCTGAACCAACATGCAAATCCTGCACACTGACACTGACACCAGGTAAGGGGATACCCAGCACATTTACATCCCTGCACCTGCCCTGCTCTCAAGACCAGAGGCACCAAAATCCCCCCACCAGCAGCTCTATAAAGCTCCTCTTTCCAGACCTGACACTCAGGCAACAGCAGATGCTGACCTGTGTTTGGCATTGGTGCAACAGCCCCTTGTCCAGCACAGCACTGCTCCCAGCTCCCAGGATGGAAGCTTGTCTCTCTCCAGAGCAATTCAATGTCACCTCATATGGTGCTATGACTGTGGCCATCATCACCCTTGAGACATTTGCTGGCATGTGGATAAATGCTTTCATTGTTTCTGTGATTTGCATGGCCTGGGTCAGAAAGAAAACCTTGAACTCTAATGAGAAGATCTTGCTGTTTCTGGGATGCTCCCGGTTTTGGGTTTTGTGCTTCTCATGGGTATATTCCTTTTTTTCAATAATTTATCCCAATTACTTTTATGTTCCACCCACATATACTCTAATTTTATCTATTCAGAACTTTTTTGAGTGTTCCAATTTGTGGGTTTCAGCCTGTCTTTGTGTCTTTTATTGTATAAAAATCTCCAATTTCAGGAACAGCTTCTTCATGTACCTGAAAGTAAAAATTGACAGGATGGTGCCCTGGCTTTTGTTGGGGTCAGTGCTTTTGTCCCTGGTTATTGGAATCCTTGTCTATGATTTTGTTCATAAACCACACTGTAACAATTCCACCAGTGAAGGAAATTTTTCAAAAGTGAGTATCAGAATGGAGGAACATTTTTTGTCTATTTTTTTAATCTATGGCTTTGAGTTTGTCACTTCATTCATGGCAGTCATCTTTTCTGCCCTTCTCCTTCTCTTTTCTCTCTGGAGACACAAACGCAACATGGAGACAATGATGGACCTCAGCATGGATGCCCACATCAAAGCCATGAAATTTATTCTCTCCTTCTTTGTAATATACAGCATCAACTTTGCATGTTTGATATTGAATATGGTTTATACCAGAGAGAATGCAAGTCCTGTGGTATTTCTTCTTTATGTACTTCTCTACACCTTTACTGTTGTTCATTCCCTTATTCTGATTTTCAGCAATCCCAAACTGGAAAAGTCAATGCTAAGGATTCTGGCCTGTGTGAAGTGTAAGTTTTGCATGAGGTAGGAACTGTAGTAAAAGCTGGAGCCCTTGAAAAATACTTATATTTCATTATAGAAAACAAATCGTTTAATCTGTAATGCAATTTTCCAGGTAGTGTGGATGATACAGATGTTCTAGAAAACTTCATGAAAATTCTTTAAACCACATGAGCATGAGTTAAATCATTATCACTTCATTTAGATAAACCTTTGAGCTAAATTATTGTCAATAACAAATTCATTTAGCTCTGGTCACATGGGCTGTATGTAAAAAGGCAATGACAATACTGCAAACCTTCCTCAAACACTTTGGCATTTGCTGATTGAAATGACTGAACTGAACAACAGGTTTATCTCTATTTTGGTTTACATTTCTTTCTACTGTGGCTCTGTTCCTTGTAATATTTCCAGTTGTATCAGTGCCTGTCAGAGTAGGTGGGTTGGGTGTTCCCTGAAGGACTGCATCCTATGGAGACCCCATGCTGGAACTGGCTTATGCTGAAGGACTGCAGCCCATGGGTGGGACCCACACTTGAGCAGAGGAAGAGCGGGAAGAAAAAGAAGCGGAGGAGACAACACGTTATGAACTGACCACAACCCCCCTTTTCTGTCACACTGTGCCACTGAGGGGGAGGAGGTGGAGAAGGTGGGAATGTGAGAGTGAATTTTGGCCTGTGATGAAGGAGGGGGGAAGGCGAGGGGTTCTAGTTTTGTGGTTTTTTCTTATTATCCTACTCTATATTCAATTGGCAATAAATTTAATTTTCCCCAAGTCAAATCTATTTTGCTTGCGACAGTAACTGGTGAGTGATCTCTCTGTCTTTATCTTGAGCCATGAGTGTTTCTATCCTATCTTCCCTCTCTGCCCTGTTGTAGAGTGGGAGTGAAGGAGAGGCTGTGTGAGGGTCCAGCAGGTGTCCAAATTTAACCATACACAGCAAGCCATGTAAATTTAAAATAGTTCCAGCATCCACAGAACAGAATCTGATTTGTTCATCTGTCACCAGCTCAGGCTCAGGGGGACATTTTACCTCATCCCAAGTGCCAGTTTTGCATTTCTCATAATAACACCTTCAAACACACTTCCTTCCTCTTCATGAAATGCGAGAAACAACCATTTAGGCCAGAGCAACCTCTCAACCACTGTAATATCTCCTTTCCCAAACACCACACAATCTCTCAGGCTGCCTCACCAACCAACCCATCTCTCTTTAAACAGCAACTGCCCAGAAACAAATAAACAAATAACTAATGCCACTTTATAAAATGTTAGTCCTCCTTCTCTGTCTAAGGAGGATTTGGGGTTGAATTAAGATTTCCATATCAAGTTTATAATACCTGCCCAGAGGAGATTTTTATTCTGTTTCTCAGGATTGCATCCTGAACCAATTGTGGACTTCTGAGCATTAAAGTTTAGTTATGGATGCAATGGATTTCCCCAGTAGAAACTGTGGAACTAAGAGCCTAAGTAGTTAGTGAACTAACTAGTTAGGCTACTCATCTGGGATTTCCCATATAAAGGAGAAAGACAAGGATTGTGGAGAGGGAAGAGGTTCAGCCTGAACCAAGTTCAGATGGAAGTAATTCAGTCTGATGGAATTCTTCTGATGCAGAAACACACGGGTCTGGTGCTACGTGAGATGCAAAAAGGGCATCCAAAAGTGGCTGGTAGATGAAAAACTGAGAGATTCTTTCCCCTTCTCAAGTGGTGCTGGAGAGCATGGATTTGAATTAAAAGCAGACATCTGTATTTCAAGTGCCTGACCAACATCTTCCTGCTTTAAAAACCCAGCATTTGAGACTCTGATTTACATCCTTATATTTTTTAAAGGTGTGAGATTCTCCAGGTAGAACTGAACACAAACTCCAGTCCTGGTATGGTCCTTTTGGTGTAATATCTTCATTTAATTTCCCTGTACAAGCACAATCCCATCAGAGACGCTTCATCTTCAGACCTGTTGTAATACAAATAACGTCTATTCTTCTCATATACATCTAGAGAGAAGAAGAAAGAAAGAAGGAAAACAAACAAACAAGCAAAAAAAGCCACCTACACCATTTATTGTGTTTTTTTCAACAAAACAAGAGGGAATTCAGAGTAAAGGATAAAGAAGAGAACAGGCAATATCAGAAAATGAAAATTCTCTCAAGGCAACATGCTAATGTCCAACAATATAAAAAACTATGAAAAGAAATAATATTTTTGAAAGACTGCAGACAAAACTAATTTGCTCATTGTAGTTGACCGAAGCACAGAAAAGCCCAGATCCTGAAGCCTCACAGGGATCAAAATGGGTCAGTCACAAAATCACGACACTGTCCACAGCACAAAAACATCTCCACTCTTTGTGCCACCCAACACAGACCTCCTGAACCAACATGCAAATCCTGCACACTGACACTGACACCAGGTAAGGAGATACCCAGCACATTTACATCCCTGCACCTGCCCTGCTCTCAAGACCAGAGGCACCAAAATCCCCCCCACCAGCAGCTCTATAAAGCTCCTCTTTCCAGACCTGACACTCAGGCAACAGCAGACGCTGACCTGTGTTTGGCATTGGTGCAACAGCCCCTTGTCCAGCACAGCACTGCTCCCAGCTCCCAGGATGGAAGCTTGTCACTCTCAAGAACAGTTCAATATCACTTCATATGATGCCACAGCTGTGGCCGTTGTCACCCTTGAGGCATTTGCTGGCATGTGGATAAATGCTTTCATTGTTTCTGTGATTTGCATGGCCTGGGTCAAGAAGAAAACCTTGAACTCTAATGAGAAGATCTTGCTGTTACTGGGATCCTCCCGGTTTTGGTATTTGTGCATCTCATGGGTATATTTCTTTCTTTCAATAATTTATCCCCATTTCCTGTATGTTCAACCCACACTTCAACTAGCTGCATCTATTCAGAGCTTTTTAAGTTATTCCAGTCTGTGGTTTTCAGCCTGTCTTTGTGTCTTTTATTGCATAAAAATTGCCAATTTCAGGAACAGCTTCTTCATCTACCTGAAAGTAAAAATTGACAGGATGGTGCCCTGGTTCTTGTTGGGGTCAGTGCTTTTCTCCCTGGTTATTGGCATCATTGTCTATGATATCGCTAATAAACCGCACTGTAACAACCGCAATTCCACTGGAAGAGGTAATTTTTGGAAAGCAAGTATCAAAATGGATAAACATTTTTTCCCTTCTTTTTTTATTGCTGGCTTTGGATATGCTGTTTCATTCATGGCAGTCACCTTTTCTGCTCTTCTCCTTCTCTTTTCCCTCTGGAGACACAAACGCAACATGCAGACAAACTCCATGAAGGACCTCAGCATGGATGCCCACATCAAAGCTATGAAATCCATTCTCTCCTTTTTTGTAATGTACTGCATCAACTTTGCATCTTTGATCTTGACACTGGTTTATGCCACGAGGAAGGGAAATCCTGTGACGTTTCTCATTTTAGTATTTCAATACGCTTTTCCGGGTGCTCATTCACTTATTCTGATTTTTGGCAATCCCAAACTGGAAAAGACATTGCTAAGGATTCTGCTCTCTGTGACATTCAAGGCTTGCATGAGGTAGGAACTGTAAAAAACTGCTGTAGCACTTGCAAAACGTCGATATTTCATTCTAGAAAGGGAGTCATTTAATCTCTCATGCAACTCTCCAGGCAATGTAGATGATACAGATGTTCAGCCTTTATCACTGAGATTAAGAAGATATCATTCAAATCCTATGAACTAAAATAGTGTGGCTTAAATAAAATATTTTCAATTATAATTTCATCCAGGTAATTCTTTGAGTTAAATTTTTGCCAATTAAAAATTTATTTAGACCTGGTACATGGGCTGGTTACAGAAGGGCAATAACAATACTGCAAACTTTCCTCAAACACTTTGGTATTTGCTGATTGAAACAACCAAAATAACAACAGGTTTATGTCTGTTTTAGTTTATGTTACTTTCTGCTGTTCTAGTGTAATATGATGAGCTGTATCACTGTCTGGCAGTGGCTGATAACTGATGTGTGAACACATTGATCCCTGTCACTCTCCACAGGTGGTCACTGACACACAAACAGTGATGCAGGAATGGCCGTGGGGGGCACAGGTGGGTGCAGAGCCCATTGCCCACACCAGCCCTGAGCGTCCTCTCTGCCCCACTTCCTGCCAGAACAGGATTGCCCTGCTCTGTGTGACTGCTCTCCTGCTCTGCTTTTACTTGTAGGTGAGATTGACTTTTCCAAATGGACACTGGCCCAGTAAAATAACCATGAAATAGGATTTGTGCTGGATCAGGGGAAGACCATGAGAAGGAAGGAGTGGACAAGACAACACATTATTATATTATGAACTGACTGCAATCCCCATTCTCCTTCCCCCTGTGCTGCCGATGCAGAGGAGGTGGAGAAGCTGGAAATGACAGTGGAGTTGAGTTGAGTCTGGGATGAACGGGGGATTGGAGACATCGGTTTCTAGTTTTGTGTTTGTTCCTCATCATCCTACTCTGTTTTCAATAGGCAATAAATTCAGTTCATTTTCCCCAATTCGAGTCTGTTTTGTCATGACAAAATAACAAATGAGTGAGTGTTCCCCCTGCCTTTATCTTAACCCATGAGCTCTTCCATGCCTGTCCTGTGTATGGGTGAGAGTGATGGAGCAGCTGAGTGGGGGGCTGGCAGCTGCCCAAGGTCAACCCTCCACAGCAGGTCCTCTAAACATGAAATAGTTCCAGCATGAACTGAGCAGAACCTGAATTGGTCATTTCTCTCACCAGCTCAAGTCCTGAGGTGGATCTTAAAAATCTCATCTGGACACATCTCCCCACTGAAAGGCCTTGAAAGGACAGGCGCCAACACAACTCCCTTCTCTCCCTCATGTTGCTTGTGCACTTCCTCCTTTAACAGGACAGTCCCAGCTGATTTCACAACAAGATCCTGGAAGACCCATCTGATTCCCTACTTCCCATGCAACATCATCCCTCACAACCTCACATACCACAACACACAGCAGGCAAAACCAGCATCTTGCCAATGTCAGCACCACACAAAACAAGGCAGCCCCAGCAAACCACACTGCAGATACCTTCTGCCATCTCCAGGAAAGCCCTGAGAACATGACACCCAGCACAGCATCACTGCCCTGTGCACCAGCCCCACTCAGCTGCACCTGGAGGGGACACGTTATCCACCAGCACAGCCACAGTGCACAGCCCACATGGAGAGATGCACTGATGTGCCCAGCCTGGGGAAGCTGACCCAGAAGAGATGTCACAGGTCAATGGGAGGGGCTGCCCAGTGCTGGCAGGGTATGGAAAACTGCTTTGGGTCACATTCCATGTTTCTGTGATTGAGAAGTTAAACAGTTAGAAATGCTTTTGCCATGGGAAGTGTTGATGATCAAAGGCACAGCTCAGGACCAGTTTCACGGCATTCCTAAAGGCAGAGATATAAAAATAGTTGGGAGTACTGCTGAAAAGAAGGCAGTGTTCCAATACTCTTGGAAGTCACAGATCTCTGAAAGCAGTAAGGAGGAGCACATTTTCCCTTTTGCTGGGATAGGAATGGGAGATTCAGGCTGTTGGACCCATGTGTCCAGTGAAAGTTCAAGATCAACATCTCAACTTCAGCCAGAAGAAGCAACTACACCCCACGACTGAGAAAAGAGAGAGGTAACACCAGAGGTCACAGGCACCTGTAGTGCCTCCTGGTTGATGCAGGACCAGAAGAAAACAAGGAAAGACCGTGGATATCAGCAGAGCAAGCAGAACCACAACCTCAGATGCTTTTGTGATTCAGGTAGGACTAAAACCATTTCCCTCCCTCACAATATGGGTAACTGCCGGTCATCTCAATAACTTTAAACATTCCAGTGATTTAGAGTATTGGTATATTTAAACATATTCTGCAGTTTTTTGATATTTGAAATCTGATTCATAGAGACACACAGAAAGACAGAAGCATTTCTACCTCTTCCCTGTTAAGGATGTTGTTTGCAGTATATCTCAAGGACACATCCTTTTGGGCATTTGCTTCCCCCATTCACGTGTATATCACCCTGCAGATTCACCTGAGATCTGCCAGTGCCTTTGCTCTGCATTTCACATGCTCAGAGGCACAAACAGACAGGACAAACTACTGCTTCCCCTTTTTTTTCCCATTTTTCTTTGGAGCAGAGGTTGTGCAGTTCTCCCAAAAACATGGTGGGTTTCTCCCAAGCTCCTCTTTCTTCTGTTCCCAGTCTTCATCTCTCTGGTCTAAGGGGATTCCTTTCATTGCAGCTGTCGTGCGGTAGTTTCTGCTCTCCACCTCTGCCCTGCGAGAGAAAACAAGAGTGAGCACAGCACAGTCACATCTCCAGGTTGTTCACGAGGCACCATCTCCAGGGTCCATCTCCAGGATTGTGCCTCAGTCTGGTTAAACACCTGCTGTCACTAACACTTGAGAAAACCCTGCGTTGTGCCCAGCATGGTGCAGCCCCAACCTCTCCTCACAAAGACCCCCCCTGGGCCCCATCACTGTCAGGATCTGGACATGGAAACTCCAAGTGTAAGTCTTGTCCAACAGAAGGCAAACCCTTTCCTCCTACTGCAGAGCTCTGATTTTGTGGGCACTCAGGATTTATGCAGCTCTATCAGAAACACATCATCAAGTATCAGGAAAAAAATACTTTTTTCTGTGAAAGAACAGCTCTGTCACATCAGTGAAATGCTATCCCAACTTAGAGCAGGAAGCAAAGCCAGTGCTTTCACACTGATGAGCTTCATCACATAAGCTTACTACGTCAGAGAATGATAGAATGGTTTGGGTTGGAAGGGACCTTAAAGATCATCTCGTTCCAACCCCCTGCCATGGGCAGGGACACCTTCCACTAGATCAGGTTGCTCCAAGCCCCATCCAACCTGGTCTTGAACACTTTCAGAGAACAGCTTCTCTGGGCAACCTGTGCCAGGGCCTTTACCACCCTCACAGTGAAAAATTTCTTCCTAGTATCTAATCCAACCCTACTTAGCTAGGCTATTCCCCCTTGTCCTCTCACTCCATGCCCTTGTCAAAAGTCCCTCTCCAGGTCTCTTGTAGGCTCTCTTCAGGTACTGAAAGGTGATCTAAGGTCTCCACAGAGTCTGTGTTTGAGAGAGATTGTTGAGGCCCTAAGCCTGCTGGTGTTTAAGAGGCATTTGGAAAATGCCCCTAATAACATGCTTTAACTTTTGGTGAGCACTGAAGTGGTCAGGCCATAGGACCAGATGATTGTGGCAGGCCCCTTTGAACTGAACTATCTTTATTTTCTCCTATTAACTATCTGCTACCAAGGGCAAGAAACATCTTTCTGTAGACTTCGAAATGTATGTACCTATACACACGTGAGTACGAACATATGCTTTGGGCTCAGATAGAAGGAGCCTTTGCTGCAGGTTCAACACTTGGCACTTTGAAGAGAGGCTGGCAGCAGGCACAGGCTGTGGGTGTCTGTGCCAGCTCAGCACCATCCTTGGCAGCTCTCGCAGCAACCAGGGTAAAGCCCTTTTCATGCAAAACAAATCTGATGCAAAATATGTGTTTGTTATTCAGAAGTAGCTGTTTTGAAGGCTGTTTCCTAACCTTTGCATGTCCATGCAAACCTCAGCGAGTCGTATGGATACTTGGTAGCAAAATATTCCCAATATTTGCATGTTAATAATATTTCCATGTTGATACATGTAATATTTCCATGTGAATGCAAAGAGTCCTCAGCACAGAGCAGTGGCCCAGCCTGGGCAGGCAGGTAGTTCATGCAGCTGGCAACACCTGGGGACAGACACACAGCGTTCAAGGGTCATGGTAGTGCTAGATGGGGCTGAATTAGGATTTAGGAAGGATTTGGATACTCATAGCCCTGTTTAGATATGCTCATCAGCCCTGCATTTGGCACAGACCCTCAAATTTGAAAATGGAAAACCTGCCTTTTCTCTCTTTTTGCATGACAAGCAAATACCCAAAACTGACAAAATATTCCTCATATTTATATACCACAGAAACCATGAGTGGAGTGCAGACCTGCTCTGTGCTGTGCAGCATTATGTGCAGGCACACACTTAATTCTGTGTCTGCAGCACACGTTGGTACTGCCCAGCTGCTGACACTGCCTGACCACCTCTGGGACCTTCTGCACATCTAAAGGAGCAGAAGGTAATCAAAATTATACTATAAATGCCAGCCATTCCAGCTCCAAGGTTGATGGTATGAGGAGGTGAAGCCATTGCAGTTGTAAGTTACAGTGGTTGGGCTTAAAAAAAGTGTTCCTGAGTAACAGTGATAAACTCTTGGCTGCCCACAGGCTGTGTTATGGCTGTGAGGTGACTGTACAGGCTTTGCGTGCCTTATAAAATGTCCTAGGCATGGGCATTCAAAGCATCTTCCCAGGTAAGTTCTCCCAGCCATGCTCATAGATGAGCCATGACGCTGTGGGGTGAGTCAGGCCAGCATATGGCTCTGAAAGGCACATTTTCCAGCTTAAATCAGTCATTCACCTCAGAAAACCCTTCATCAGCTACCTGAGTTGCCCTAGGCTGTTGCTACGGTGTCTCAGACCAGGATGTCAATCATCCTGTCAATCAACTTGTCAGTCATTCTCCCAGGAACCTCTGCCTGCCGCGGGCATGGCCCGTTGGGATCATCCAGGCAATTCCCCTACCCTTGCTGTCACCTCACTGCCATGGCCCTCGTGCACAGCCAAGTGCCCAGCAAATGCTACAGATTGGACAGGAATTACTGGTGTGGTTAATGCAAAAAGGACAGCATTGAATAGGCAAGTAATTGCTATAAATGATTCATCAAGGGAGAGAAGCCTGCAGACTTTCACTCTCTAGGTTAGACAACATTTACCTGTGCTGGTATAGAAACTAAGCATGCCAAGAGCTGAGAACAGTATAAAGAGAAACTCCATTGGAACACAGTGCCCCATTCTCAAAGGTCTGGCAAACCTGAGCTTTACTACAAAGCCAGGGTCTAGGCAGTTAAGACCCTACTTAGCAAAGCTTAGGTAACAGCTGCTCGTTGTTTAAATGTCTTTAAACTGAATGTCTGAGGGTAAGAAGAGCTGATACTTCTGTGTGGAAGGAAGGTGGTGAATAGTGAGGGTTTGCACATGTCAGCTCCAAATATAGCACGGCTTTAGCTCTAAGGTGTCCCTGGCAGGGTTCAAGGCCAGGCTGGATGTGCCTTGAAGCAACCTGGTCTAGTGAAAGGTGCCCCTGCCCATGGCAGAGGGTTGGAATGAGATGAGCTTTAAGGTCCCTCTCAAGCATTCTATGATTCTGTGTTGGATGAGCAGGTAAAATGCAAAGGTTCCAGCAGCTTTCATAATAGCCAGAGCTTAGAAACTGGAACCTGTGGCTGCCCTAGAAAGTTTTCTGGGCTTTGTACAGGGGGATTTTGCACAGTTTGGGTGTCTTTTCCTATGGCAGAACACTGATGTTGTGTGAAGATAAAAGGTGGGCATGGAGCCCTAACAGAGGAAACAAGAAGCTGTAGAAGTACAGCTAAAGGACAGCAGCACCTACAGAAAGGTTTATGTGGACTAAAGAAAAGTGGCACTTGGTAGGCACTGGCCTCCTCAGACATTTGCCCAGTCACCATGCCTGATTTTTAACTTGGCAACTCTTGTGCTGCACTGGCAAGCTGGAGACTTTGAGTTAGATATTTGTCTACAAAAAAAAATCCAGGATATACATGGTGCCAAAGTAGTCTTGAAACTGTGGCAGTGGTAAAAGAGATGCCAGTAAAGGACTATGGTGGGACTGTAAATTAACAGAAAAACCCAGGGAAGAAAAAGATTTAGGGAGCTCTCAGCATTCCAGGCTTTGGCATGTGCAGGTTTCACAGGCAGTGTATTTAAACACCAAGTAGTGTGTGGGACTGTGGTTTGCACTGAACAAGCTGGTTGACCTCTGGTGATCTGTCCCACTGCTTGAGAGAGATGCAGGTATGGGACACAGCTCAAACCTCTGGAGTACAGCATCTTAATCCAGGGAAACAGCTTTGCAAGGATGAAAATATCTGCAAGCCAAACCAGTGGCCGAAAAACAGGAATGGTAATTGGGAATCCTCTAAAAACATATTTCTCATGGCAAGTGGTGTCACAGTGCTAACTGTAAACAGTTAAGGCAGTAAGGAGTTTCCCAAAATTTGGGAGTAATATATGGCCATCCTATTAACAGATCAAATGGTCTAATTTTCAATAATTATGTAAAAAATACAACGATTCCTTTCTTTACTATAAGAAAAGCCAGATGATATACATATATATACATATATAACTGCTGAAGGGCTGCTCTTAAACAATTCAACCTGTGTCTTCAGTATTCACCACTCTCTAAGGGGTTAATCTTTGCCAGCTGTTGCTCTCGTTTCTGTTGCTTAACAATCTCTCTGTAACACCCTTACAAAAACAATGATGTCACGAGTGGTAACGCTTTTGAAAACATACCAAGGCAAACCACAGGAGGCAGTGGAAAAAAAGAATTTCTTCTAAATGACTTCCCTGTGACAAACCCGAGTTTGCTTATCTCCTACTGCTCGTGCTTGACGGCTATAACAGGCTTTAGGTGGACAGATAAGTAACACCCTGTGTTTGTTCTGTTCCTTTATAGGACAGTTTGTTTAATTTTCATTGCTGGAGCCCCATCCGCTGCCGCAGTGGGACCTGCCGTCACTACTCACTTCTCCAAGAACTTGGAGCAGTCCTGGTGACCGTAGATTTCCGCAAGCCTCTTGGGAGTGTCGCCAAAGAGGTCGGCTGCATCCATGGCGGCGTGCAGGGAGTGGAGGGTGCGGAGCACCCTCAGCCTCCCCGACTCGGCGGCAAAGTGAGCCGGAGTCCAGCCCACGTCGCTCCGCAGGCAATGCCGGGCGCCGTGATCCACGAGGAGCTTGACCAGATCCGACCGCCCTTGAGGTGGGCAGCAAAACAAGGAGAGAAAATGCAACTGCATCAGAATTTGTACCTTCAGGATGCAGGAGACAGTCACACACAGTTGATCATAATTCCCTCAGCCACGGATTTTTACCCACGACCCGACCATTTGTATTATCATATAAATGATACTCAGTAGAAAATGCTGGTTGTTTTTTCCCAAACTAGACTGCTTCCAGAAGAACTTTACAAAAAAACCAACTACTAGATCAAAAAGCTTTCTAATTTCTGAACAGCAATTAGTCATTGACCAATTGACTATTTCTTTGTTACATTTTGCTTTTTAGTTCATTGCAGTATAAAATTTAAACATAAAGAATGGGAAAACCTGTGAACAGCTTTACTAAAACAAAGGTTTGTTGGATAGGAGGTAGAGAAAATACTTGTTTTCATTCACCTTCTCATTTTTCTAACCTGGGGAATTGCTTAAACAAGCAAAAAAAAGTTATTTCTAGCCCACTTTATACTGCCTTGACTGAGCTAGATCATTCCCAATGGCCTCTAGGCAATGTTAGTCTCTCATTTTCTTAAGTAGCTCAGTTCCCTTCACTGATGCTTAAATACCTAATAATCCATCAGGGCAAAAGAAAAACATGGTCTCAAGTTTCAAACAGTAAATTATACACTTAATTTCTGAGTAAAGACAGATGCCATGACATGAGATCCCAACGTGTAACAAACACTGTAGCATGGAGGAACAGAGGCTCAGCTTCCCATTTTACACAGTGTACAATTATACATTATGTATTGTTGCATCATCTCTTTTTTGAGATGTAAAGGGATATTTGATTTTAACAGACACTTCTGAAGGGGAAGGGCCAAATGGGAGCTGCAAACACCTCTGGTCCTGCCTTGTTTACTCAAGCAGGTGAGAAAGTGTACACATAAGTGTACATGACAAGTAACTTCTTTGCACTGCATGGAGTCACCTCTTAGAAAAGTAAAGTGGGGGACAAGAGCCATGCTCTATGTACCTACCATGTAAATTGCAAATTTTCATGTGATGGAAGAAAAAAAAGTTAAAAATCACTTCGATGGCAATCCCATGAATTATTTTGTAGGCAAAGTTCCCACTTAAATTGGTATTTTTATCTTTTTTTTTTTTTTTGCTCATTAAGAACAAAACTACCAAATACAAGCTGTGATTATTTCCAGTATATGTATAATTACAACCAGCATCACCTTTTATGATGCTAGTTAGCAGAGGTAACAGAGCCAGGGGTGCCCTCACCTTTGGCAGCAGCCCAGTGCAGTGGGGTCCTGTCGTGCCAGTCAACATCCTTGTGGTTTGGGTCGCAGCGTCCTGCCTTCAAAATCTTTTCCACCAGGTCGTAGTCCCCCAAAGCCACGGCTTCGTGGAGCTCTGTCATGCTGCACCCTTCAGAAAGGTGACTGGTAACAGAGCAACAGGTGTTTGGTGGATGTTCACTGATGTATCAGCTCCTCTCAGGGCGGTTTTAATAGATCAAGCAGCACCTGGATTAAAAATGAGACAGGAACTGTGAGAAACCAGGATTTAACAAAAATAAGGGAAAAGGAATGAAAGAGGAAAAGTAATTATAATTTATCTTCAAACCGGTGATCACAGACTGATAGTGATATTTGGTCTGTAGTCATGGAAATCTGGAGCCAAGGGCAGCCCTTTATATAAAGGACTTATATAAAGGACTTGTATCTAAAGCCTTTCTGAAGGGAGTTGCTGCTAAAATCCAGCTCACAGTGAACATTTGCCACGGGTCTGTTGTGCTCACTAACCATGGAAACTGGCTCCTCCCTTGCCAGTGCTGCAGATCTGTTACTGGTAGCATTTTATTGCGACAACAGAAACGACTGTGCAAGTATCTTCTCTGATGTTCTTTGGCGCAAATAATAATAAGGGATAATAATAAGAAGAATGAAACCTACAGAAAAAGTGATGGGCAGATAGTGATAGGGCAAGGGGGAATGGACATAAACTAAAGGAGGAGAAATTTAGATTAGATGTTAGGAAGAAATTCTTGGCTGTGAAAGTGGTGAGGCCCTGGCACAGGTTGCCCAGAGAAGCTGTGGCTGCCCCATCCCTGGAAGTGTCCAAGGCCAGGTAGGATGGGGCTTCGAGTAACCTGGTCTAGTGGAAGGTGTCCCTGCCCATGGCAGGGGGTGTGGATGATCTTTAAGGTCCCTTCCAGACCATTCTATGATTCTAGAAAATAACTGAGCCCATTGCTTAAAATTCTCATTACCAGTCCCATTCAATAGACCCCCATCAAGCAGATCTCCAGCCCCTGCAAGGCTTTGGATTTCAATAATTATACCTGTGCTAGGGGGTATTTCCCAGCTGCTTTGCTGACGTCTAAGCAGATCGCAAGGATCACTAGGTACTTCATCATCCTGAGAATGGAAACTGCAATATTTTCTCCAGTCTGGTCAAATCAATGGGGAGAAAACTTATATTTCCATATTAATAGCTGAGCTTAAGCTAATTAGTCCTGTCACCCTGATAAACCAGAAGCATTTTAGGGTTTGCTGCAGCTTCTGCATTGCATTTACTTCATGGAGAAATCTTCACAGCTTTGAAAAGAGTGTGATTTTCATGTTCAGCACGTTGGAAAGGACCAACATCAGAGCTTGCAAAGGCTGATTGTGAGGGAAGGTTTGCAATCCTAAGGGCTACATCCTGAGCCAGAGATGGATTGGGCCATTTATCTGCTCCCAACTCCCATAAGCATACCAATCACTTCCCAAGTCCAGGCTTGAAGGACATAGAATCATCTCCACTCTGATTTTTTGTAAGAAAAAGATGAAGTACATAGGTCAGAGGGATTCACAGCCTGCTTCAGTCTTAGGTGGTTGGACTGTGCAGACAAGATCCAAAAAAAAGACTCATACTTGTGTTCTACTGAGCTTGACTCCTGCATGTCTGGGAATATCTGAGCATATCAAAAAATAAAATAAATTCTGGAGCTCCTAGTGGGCCACAGATGTATTGTCTTTGACATGCCTTGTTACTTGAAGTAACTAGTGGTTACTTCAACCACTTGTGCACTGCCTCCTCCTCATTGCCTCTCACTAGTCTTGAAGAACCTGTTCCTTTAGATTAAGCAGAGATGTTCTGAGCTGTCCTCCAAGATTTCAACATTAAATCTATCCTGAAAATGTCACATTTTAATGCATCCAGCCCATCACTGAAATGAGGGATGGACCAAAGTACAGGATAAAAAACAAACTCTTGGACCTTTTCATACAACTTTCTTATTCTTTTCCAGCTTCAGAGAGAAAGGGAGAGGAAGACAAGCCACTGATCCCACTCCAAGAGCTCATCAGCTCTCCAAGGGGACAGTCCATGGGACAGCTTCATAAGCAATTTAGGCCAAGCCAAATTTTACCTCCCCTCCTCCCCTGCTGCTTCCTTTGAAGCTCATATGGCCGTTTAATAGCTGCTCATCTCTCATAAAATAATCTGTTATTATTGGTGCTGGTTTTAGGGTTAGTTCCCTGAATTCAGTGTTACCGAGGGGGCAAATGCCAGGGCTGTGCAAAGGGGGGGTGAGTGCAGGTCCCTGCCAGTAGGGACCTGTGCTCAATCCGCTTTAAACCTCTCCAGAAGTTGTACTCAGAAGCGGGATATGCTTCCCTAGAGTGTGATTACCCCCTTTTCCTAAGGCCAGAGGAAAAGATTCGGCTTTTTACGGAGCGACCTTGAGGCAAAGCGCTCCTCCGCAGCTGGTCCCCCCCGCCTCGTCCAGCCACAGCTTCTCCGCGGGATGTTGCAACCCATCCGGGGGAATTTTCTCTTGGGGCTCCTGGTGCTTGACGCAGCCCCACTCCGCCACGCTCGGCAGCACCGCCGGGACATCCAGAATCCATACATATGATCCCGTCCCTGCCACACGGAGGCACAGCCCGGCACCTCGGCGGCAGCGGGATCCGCCGGGACGCGCAGTCTTTGCTTGGGATGGCCCCGTGCCAGAAACTTGTTTTCCAGGCCCAGGGGAGATTTCTCCCGGGAAGATTGTCTCAGCTGAAAACTAAGGCAAAGTTTGGTCCCTCCCCTTCGGGCAGAGCCCGGCAGTGGCTCTGCCTGCGGGACAGACGTCCTCCTGTGGGAGCAGCCGCCGCTCCCCTGGCTCCGCAGGGCTCTGGGTGGCCGTCCTGCTCCTCTGGACGGCGGGACGGGAGCACAGGGCGACCGGGACACCGCACACCAGGTATGGGAAGCACCAGGCGCTGCTCGAGGGCAAAAAAAGGGTCTGGGGAGAGCACGGGGAGGAGCGACGGTGACGTGAGGGGGATTTTAAAGAGCTGGGTGGTTGCTGCGCAGCCCTTCACACAGGTTATCAGCGCTCCCCGCTCCCCGGGTTCAGCCGACTCATGCAGGAAGCCTGTTCCTAGTCCTCGAGGGATCGCGTTTCTCCAGTTCCTCCCTTCCAGCCCCGTATCTGGCCCCAAATCCCTGTGCGTCCCTGCGGAGGGGTGGGATTCACTCCGGTGGACGTCCCCCTTCGCCGTTGAGTGTAGGGCGAATTTTCCGGTGGGGAATAGTAACCCACCTCCTGACACGGCCGTGCCCAGCCTGGCGATGGGAAGCAGCAGTGCTGGGCTGCAGCAGAGGAAACTCAGACTAGATGGAAGGGGAAAAGTTAATTCACAGCGAGGGTCTGAGATGTGCAGACCCGAGGCGTGTCCTGCTTTGAACAGGGGCTTGGACTGAGTGACCTCCAGCGTCCTTGCCCGCCTAAATACTTCTGGGAGGTTGAGAGGGACACAGCTGGAGGTTTTGGGTGCTCTGCCAGCACAGCATTCACCTCCCACACACCCAGCATCCCAATACCTGCAAGGGACCCTGCACCCCAACTGCTGTTGGAGCTGGTGGGGAGAGGGATGGTGATTTTAAGACGTGGGTTTCCTGATGTGTTTTAAGCTCGATGAACTCAGTGGTGAGGTGGTGGACTGGCAGACGTCAGAACAGCCTGACTGTACTTTACCCTGTGTACTGCCACAGTATTTTACCCTGTGACACAACCATCCAAGCCTCTCCAGGAGCAGCAGGTGGTGGCTCCTCCAGAGAGGGACCAGGGGTGGTGGTGCTGCCTGGGCTTGCATTTACCAACCCACTAACATGTTTATAGCAGCCAAGAAGCTGTTGTGACTTATAAATAAGATCCTCTAAGAGGCAGCTCAGGAAACAGAGGATACACCAATCCCTTCTCCGATGTTATTAGTGGGTGGCCTCCCCTTTCTCTACCTGCTGGGAGTGAAACATTCTATCTCTTCAAAATCAGCTAATATGATGCAGGAAGGGGCTGTTCTCCAGTGCTTGCAGAGAAATGATAGGGGATGCTCCTGCTGTGGGACATACACTTGGATTTAACTACCGGATCCAGAAACTCCACAGTTTATGGAAAGACTGAACCCAAGTGCCTCCTCCTGCTGACTGCAGAGCTGCTTCCTGCTGCTTCCACCTGACATCCCCATGCCCCAACCACACAGCAGACAGGTTTCTCACCACCCAAGTCCTGCTGCAGGCCCAAACCAGCAAGCTAAGGGTAACAAGTTTTTTCAGTCCTTAAAATGGGGTATTAGAAAGCAAGGACAAGAGCTGGGGCTCTCAGGTAAATGCTGTCATAGTGCTTACGTGTGCTTTTTCCCCCAGACCCTGTGAGTGTTGAAATGTTTTGGTATCTGTGGTAGGGACTAAGGTGATCCCATGCCCTGGTGATGAGAAATCGCTCATTGGTTCAATCTGCAGTGCCAAATCAGGCAGGGGATGTCCTTAAAACAGATTAATTAGAGCTCAAGAAGGGGACAGTGACACCTTTGACCACTGTGGAATATCATACTGGGGAGCGCTACTGAGATGAGCATGCTCCACCATTGGTTCTCTCAGTCTCCATTCCTGATCTTGAGAAGGGGGATGTACTGACCTTCCCCAGCCTCTGTGCTCATGGTGATGTGCTGTCACTGAATTACTGAGGTCAGCACTAAGCCACATCAAGATGTTGCATGGAAGCAGCCTTTAAAACATGCAGCATGCTTGTTTACTGGGAAAATAAGTGGCTTAGATCAGTGAAAAAAACACACATTAGCATTTCAGTGACAGCCTCAGCCTTTTACACTCTGCAACACAAAAGGCGCCAGTGTGAAGGGCTCTTTCCTTCAGCTCCCTCACATTCCTCAGGCTCAGCTCCCCTGCTTTGGCAGCCTTCAAATAAAGGAAAAGACAAGGTCAGGAGAAAAAAAAACAACAAAGGAGAAAAAAATAAAAAGGAAAAAAAAGCCAAACCCCAAATCTAAAACCATAGGTCCTGGTAAAACCTCCCTTCCAGCTGCCCACTACCCAAGTGAGCGCTCCTGCTTGGGAACTGCTCACCATTTGCCAATGGCTTTCACCCTTCCCAGAGCCCCCTGAAGCCCTTTCCTCCCTTGCTGGAGAAGCTGGCACCTCTGCAGCCCCCAGCTGCTGAGACAGACACTTGTCAAGGTGACAACGATCAAGTTTTGTCAGGCACATGGAGAGCCTGCTCCAACACCAGCACCACCATCCTCTGTCCTCCTGCACAAGCAACTTCCCAGAAGATTCATGGAGATGTCAGGCCCCTTCAGGAACAGCAAGCCCACTTCAGAAAGTGCTGGGAAGTAGCACAGTGACACCCAGGACCCCATCCTGCTGCTCTCACATGCATAAGCTCTCCCACTGGAAATCCCTGGAGCACTAGAGGGGAATTTGCAGGATTTGGCCCAAAAAAGCTCCATGCTGGACCATCTCCTCATGCCAGTTCACACAGACCCATGGAAGCTCGTGCTGATCTATACTGACATTGGATCCAGCCTTGGAATTTAAAAAAAGCCTCTGTGTTTATCCAAGTGTTGGGAAAGGCTGTCGGAGCTGCTTCCTGTGCCCTTTCAATCCCCAGCTCCGGAACCGCTGCGGGAACCGCCCTGCAGCAGCCACAGCACATCAGCT